TCCGTATAGAAGAACTGACTGACTTGACGTTTGTATTGAAAATCCGAATCATTTTGTTGTTGATGCTGAGTTGAGTGACGATGATTTCCAGATTGGTTTCAGGTTGATGAATATGTTTCTCGCCTTCCCGATTCTCGATTTGTCATCCTCGTCCGTCCCAACTTCCTGTAGTCGAGACAATGCTCCCTAGATAAGTGAATGAAGTAACCTCTTTCAAATCCCTCCGGTTGATGGTGACTGACACTGGATGTTGCTGCTGTTGTTGTTGGTTGGTTATTTTCATAACCTCCACCTTGTCTATGTTCACCTGGAGTCCTGTCTTGGCTGCCAGCCTCTTCGACCAGTTTGTCAGTTTTCGCTTGTAAGTCTTCGATGTTGTGTGACATCAAACATAAATCATCCACGCAAGGAATCCAGGTTTTCTAGGTTCTTCACGTCGGTGGTGCAGGATATCCTTGTCTTCTCGTTTCCTGCTGTCTGACGCATAATCCAGTCCACCACAATTAGGAATATCATTGGTGATAATAAGCACCCTTGTCTGACTCCTGTGTTTACTGCAAACGCCTTGCTGAGTTTTCCGTTGTGGATCACTTGACATGTGCCGTTGTTGTACAGCTGTTGAATAAGTTTGATTAATATTTGGGGTACGCCGTAGTACTCGAGTAGTTTCCAAATTACTTCGCGGTCAACGCTGTCGAAGGCCTTCTCAAAGTCTATAAAGTTGAGGTAGAGATTTGATTGCCATTCCATGCCTTTTTGGATGATAATGCGTAGAGTTGCAATTTGGTCAGAACATGATTTGCCTTTCCTGTATTGCGTATGTTCACTGTCACACAAACTCTAAGAATTGTAGGCAGGCGAAAACCAACAAACCGGCTAATTTATATCAGCACATGGATAGAATAGTTTCATGTCCATACTGGAGAAAGTCAATACTCTTATCTCTAATCCTTCCTTTAATGTCTGTTTATTCAGTAATTTGCAGAGATGTTTTTCTTTTCTTTTTCAAAAGTTATTTCTACAGAAACTGAACTAATATACAGGGGAAAAAATACAGTTTTATTTAAGTAGTGATTGCTAGCCAGCCAACCAGCCACATCGAGGTGATCTGAACACCATTGGATGGCGATTTCGTTCGTTTGGTGTATCCGGTGGGATTCAGCTCAGAGAGCTGTCAAATTAATTCACACTTGTCCAAAAGAGAGAAATGGTTGCTTGGTCTTTAGATCACTTCAATATGCCTAACTACATAGCAAGACAGAACTACTGGTTAATGTGACTGATATACCACTACTTATCTCAATTAATTAGTAGTATATAGTCCCGTACATTCGCGTTTGCTTTCTGGATTACGATTTATGGTGGTGTAGTGTAGATCCCATACTGTGTGATCTCAATAATTTGATCTTCAAAGGAGATAGTGGTGGAATTCCACCCCTTGAATCAAGCAGATACAGAAGACTCATGCTCTTGTCTACACCGAGTAAAATTGTAAGTTGTGTCATCGTGGAGAGAAGAGGGCATACACTTGATGCAGAACTCCGCCAGCAGGAAGAAGCTGGATTCAGGAAAGGCGAATCTTTTGATCATCAAATCAAAACTCTACGCACCATCATTACAGAATAAAGCATAGAATGACATTTAAACCACTACCTCAATTTCATTGACTTAGAAAAAGCCTTCTGAAGGGTTGACCGAGAAGTAATCTGGAAAATACTCCATTATAGATAAGTGTTGTTATACAGTAATATTTACTGATGACCACCTTTCAAGCACAAATTATTGCTACTCATAATCATTTCAAGGCACTCAAACAACTTTGTTGTTTCATTTATATACATGAGAAAAATTGATAAGACATTTGTGCTTGAAATGTGGTCATCAGTAAATATTACTGTATAACAACACTGTGTGATTTATCAAAATAAATATTACCCATAATGGAATTATATTCTACCACAATGGCCAGTTTTTATACTTAAATCTGGATAAAACTTCAACACTATGGCGCGCAGTACCCAAATCTTTATCAGCCTTATTCATCAGCTATATCATGATAGTGATACCAGATGTCAGGTGATCCACAACGAAAAAGTCAGAGAAACTTTTGAAATGAATGTAGGATTAAGACAAGACTGTCCATTATCATTGGTGTTACTCCTAGTTGTGGTAGACTGGATAATGCAGTGTACTGTTAGTGAGGAGCAAGAAGACAAGGATACAGTGGACCAATAAGAAGACTCGTAAATATCTGAATTTCGCGGATGATATATGTCTAATGTCACACAAACTCGAAAACTTACACACGAAAACCAACAAACTGATAGAAGAGACAGGTGAGCAGCGAAGACAGACCAAATATACGTGATGAATATCTGCAACAACCAGTGCCAATCACCATCAACGGAAGTAATTTGAAAGAGGTCATTTCCTTCACTTACAAAGGCAGCCAGTATCGTTTCAAATACAAGTGGAACGGATGAAGATGTAAAATTCAGCCAAGACATAGCTTTGTCATTCTGAAATCAGTTTACAAGTCTTCTACAATCAGTGTAAATAATAAAATTAGGATTTTCAACACAACTGTTAAATCACTTCATCCATGTAGCCAGAAAGAATTAGTAACAAGAAAATATGGGAACAAACTTAGCAAGAACATATCGCCCAGCAGATATGTGAGAGAAAATGGAGGTGGATTGGGCACACACTGAGGAGACCGTCGAATGACATCACGCGCCTGGTCACTGAAGCGAAACTGAATGGGAAACGGCGAGTGGGTCGTGTGTGCTAGGGTGACATAGAGGTTGAGGTGAGAAGCTATGGTCAGTTATAAGCCCAGCTAGAGAGGACAACAGGAAAAAGAAAAAATTGAGGGCGTGTTGCTGAAGACCGATGTTCCTCTTGGAACACAACTGAATCATCAATATAATAATAATAAACTTATCTGCAAATTGTGAATTTGAGTAATTGATATAATATAGGATATATTACTGTTTGTCTGATTAGAGTAGTTGTGAGCTGCAGATTCGAAATTTGAGATGATGATGAAGATGTTCTAAAGATTGTTTCACTCATTTCGGGTTGAAATGATCAGAAATATGCTCTAACTGATGTAGTTAAATGCTTCATCCAATCAGCTATTTGAACCAACTAGTAAAACCTAAAATTATTAAGCTTAATTTTTATGAGGATTCACAGGGCATTATGATGCTATTTCAGTGTCAGACAAGAAGATTTCGTAAAATCATGTCATCTTTTGAACCTTCATGTGGTACCCAGGGCATGTCTGAGATTGGAAAGTCCCCTGACACTTGGATCTATAATTTGAAAATGCTATATTATATACTTCCGCTGGAATCTAGTTACTGCCTAGTGTCCAGTCTTGTCTAAGTATTCAGTACAGTGCTACAAGAAGGTCAATCGTGAGCCGAAATACCTCAGTGGAAGCTTCTCAGGCTGTAGCTTCAAGTGGTGTAAGTTAAAATCTCAGAAGCGACATAGGTTCCTTCTTGGAGACTACGCCTTGCTGACTGTTGAGAGCCAAGAATTACAAAACCTAGGTCCATCTAGGGTTTCCTTTCGACTGTCTCTAACCATTTGAAAACAACATTAATGCTGCTTAGTTGAAGGTAATCGTCAGGATGCTCTGAAAAACCATACGAGGCCAAGTTTTAGACAACAGTGATCCAGGAGGAAAGAATACATCGATGAGCTAGAAGTACACAAGCAGAGGAAGGTTACCAAACCAAGGATATGATATTATAATCATGAAAAGTGGTTTGGAACGAAACTCAAGGATATTGAACAGGATATCCGGTTGGTTTTTAGTTAGATTTGAGGAAGACTAGGGCTATTATTATTGTTTATTATTATTCCCTTGGGTTCCGAGTGGAACATAGGGGTTCAACAACACATCTCCGTTCTGTTTTGTCCCGCTGCTGTCCTCTTCAGCTGGCCATACAATTACTCATAATCTCTTATCTCCTCCTCCCCACATGATATCGTCCATGTTACCTTCACCCTGACAACCCACTCGTCGTTTCCCATTTGGATTTCACTCGAGCGATGACCTGCATTGAGCGCGATGTCATTCGATGGCCTCCTCAATGTATGCCAAATCGATCCATCTCCATTTTCTCCTACCTATTTGTTTAGTAATCGGCTCTTGGTTGGTTTATCTCCAGTCAGCCAAAAGGGTCTTGTTGCTAATTCTTTCTAGCCAGCCTTCTGATCATTTGATCTTCAGTATGGAGCCAGCCAGCGATGGGGACAGATGTTGACAAGAGTCTGCAGTAGCTTGCTGGAAATCCTTTTCATGATAAGCAGTGCAAGTTTCTGACCCGTTTATGAGACCTGACTGGCTTCACATTTGTGTTGAAAATTCGAATCTTGTTCCTTATGCTAAGTGAGAGCGGAAGATTTCCAAACTGGTTTCATACTGATGAAGGCGTATTTTGCCCTCCCCCGCTTCGACTGTGGCTGCATTTGACACCTTCATCCTTTCCACCAGCTGTGGTTGAAACCGTGCTTCCTGGCTAGATAAGTGAAGGAAGTAACCACTTTCAAGTTTATTCTGTTGATACTGATTAGTGCTGGTCGCTGTTGTTGTTGCTGTTGGTTGTTGTATATAACTATCACCTCCGTCTTCTCTATGTTCATCTGGAGTTCTGTCTCCTCAGCCTGCCTGTTTCTTTAGACAGTTTGTTGGTTTTCTCCTGGAAGTCTTCATCTGCGTAAAGCAGATTTTCTAGAATTTTCTTCTAGTGACTTTGGCGTTTCAGGCACCACGTTTATTTCCTTCCAGACAACAGGGACTGTTTCCTTGTGAAACAATGCACTAAAGATGAAGTTACTCTGTTACTTACTACTCATTCTAATAATCAGTAGTGCATACACGCAATAAAAAATTCAAGAATTTTTTTGAAAATCTTACTCATGATTTTTTCCCATACACAGTTAATTTATCCGATCTTCCATCTTGTTTTTCTTTCGATTTTCAGAGATGTTGATTTTCCTGGATTTTTAAGTTTTATTGAAGGTAGACTGGCTAAAGTGTATGCCGCAGCAAATGGTCTACAACAGGAGGAAGCTGCAGCTGAGATTAAACGAAAAATTGCTGAAACATCACCAGCTATTCATGGTGGTACTGTAAGTTAATTAAAAAACTTAAAAAACAAAAAATCAAATTTTCCTTTTTTACTGCTTGTTATTTATTTCTGACATTCTGAGTGGGACATATGGCTTCACCGTTACATAAATCTACTGGATTCAACTGCCTATCGTAAATTTCCACGGACTTCATGAATATACACAAACTCTAGTTTATCCCACACCACCCTCGGACCACCGTGCGTCGGTGGCACGGGGTTCGGGGTTCGGTCCCCGGCCACTGATGAAGAGGGAAGGTTGGGCATGAGGTGGCTAGCAACCCCATTCTGAAAAAATAAACACCACTGCTAATTAAACTTCAAGCCTCTAGCTTGAAGCTCTCCCTATGTTCCACTGGGAATTTAAAGGAATGAAAAAATCCCTCGAACCTATGTTCCAACTCACTGCCTCCCATCTGGGTCCCATTTGAAGATCCGACGAGTAATGTCGCTTGATTATCCCACCAGCGTATGTCAAATCCACCTCCATTCCCTTCGGCTTATTTTTTAGGACAATAGGCTCTTCCCTAGTGGTTCATTGCCTGCCAGAGTTTTTTCTCGACTGGCCATCCGATCCTCATTGTAGAGAGAAGATGGTAGGTGTCGACAAAATTATTCTGTAGCCTGTTGAAAATGCTATTGGTGACTTGCTGACCAAGTGTCTAAAGTACGTAGAAGCACTAACTGAATTGAAATGAGTGTTGAAAGCTCAGATTTTACTCCTTATACCGAGTGAGTGCAGTTTATCCTTAGAGGTAAGTGTTCCCAGTCATATTTAACTTCTATATGACCAGTATATCATTTTTGACTTGAATACTGAGTGAATAGGTTCTCAATCTTTGGCAGTTAATGAGTTCTTGTGATCATAGTTAGTTATTGTTCCCTTGGGTTCCGAGTGGAACATCTCCAGCACATCCCCACTTTCTTCTACTCTTTGCCATCTTAGGTTCACGATTGCACGTAATCTCTCATCTCCTACTCCCCACAAGATCTCCTCCATGTCACCTTCGCATCGACGACCCACTCGTCATTTCCAATTTGGATTTCACTCGAGCGATGGCCTGCACTGAGCTCTACGTCATTAGACAGCTTACTCAATGTGTGCTAGATCGATCCATCTCCATTTTCTCCTACATATGTGTTTAGTAATCGGATCTTGGTTGGTTTGTCTCCAGTCAGCCAGAGTTTCTTGCTGCTAATTCTTTCTGGCTGATCTGCCGGCCATTTGATCTTCAATATGGAGCCAGCCAGCGAAAGAGGTAGCTGTTGATGAAAGTCTGCAACAGGCTGTTGGAAATCCTTTTCGTGACACGCTGGCTAAGTTTCTGACTGGTAGAAAAGGACCGACTTGACATTGGCATTGAAAATCCGAATCTTGTTCCTTATGTTGAGTGAGTGCAGAAGACTTCCAAATTGGTTTCTGGTTGATGAAGGTGTATCTTGCCTTTACGACTCTTGCTGGCTGGCTTGATTTGACATCTTCATCCTTTCCGACTGCCTGTAGTTGAAATGATGCTGGCTGCCTAGGTAAGTGAAGGAGGTAACGTCTGTTAAAACTCTCCCGTTGATGGCGATTGGTGCTGGTTGTTGTTGTTGTTCCTGCTGGTTGGTTATCTTCATCACCTACCTCCCTCTTCTCTATGTTCACCTGCAGTCTCTTCTCAACCACTGCTTACATGATGAATCTCTTGGTAGAATTACTTTTCAACACTTTCTTAACTCATTTAAAATGGATCCATATCAGACTGAACTCCTCATACTATTCTTTGATAAAATTTGGAACATTTTCGACCAATAAAAATGACTGAATGTTTCTAAATAGTATGAATTTCTTCGTGACACTAATGGGTTTTAGTAAATGCGAAGAAAGATCTAGTAAAGTAGGTGATACTATCGGTCATGTAACAACCAGGCTCAAAATGAGTTTATTTTTGATATTGGGGTAATAATTTTTATTGGTATGATCATGAGCTGACCAGCGGAAAACCACCAAGGAGTAGTGAACAGCCGTTTCGTCCCTCTAGTTTGGGTCTCTTCAGTAGATCTCACCCATTGTGGTTGGAATCCGGGAACTTCAGGTTACAAGAAGAGCTCATAGGCCATCCACCCACTGGGACGCGAACCAATGGTCAATGAATTTTAAGTTCTGCCAATTCATGATATACAGCAGAACCACCAGTCAGTGTCTCTTTGCTGGACATGATGGACCCTGCAGGCCACGACTTCCTTTATGAGGCCACTCACTAGTGAGCTAGAGAAACAACTTTACTCTACTCTTCCAATGGATCTCTAGCTGATGTCAAATGGGGATCAGACCTGCAAGCAGTAAAAACCCCGGAAACCAACACTTGATAATAATTGTTATTCAATAGTGGACAGAACGACTACATTCTGGAACTTGAAATGTCGTAGCATGTCAAAAATTGATTTAAATTTGACTGCGTTTCCAATTGTCATGATACCTTACCAGGATTCCCACTCAAAGCACAAAATATTCCTGTTTTAGACATGTAACCTTCTTAACATTGTAAATGATGCTGGAAATTTCAGTATTAGATACATACTACTGGCCCGTTTAAGTAGTTTAAAATGTCTTGTATCATCCAAAAAGTATTTGTCATATCTAAGCTGAAGTGATCTATATGTCGGACACATAGTTTCCTCCTTCATTGCTACTCAGACTGTACGAGGTGTAATAAATTTAGCGTCAAAGGCAGACGCTGTAGAGATCTACAGCAGAGTATAAGGAACAAGTGTTTTTTAAATTGTCAGCACCAATGTCAAGTCAATGATTCTACGTGATTCAAAGACCTGACGTAAGTGCAGGTGAAGTTATTCTGGAAAAACTACTGTAGACCTCAATCACAACACCTGTATTCGCTCCATCTAGAAGATCACATAGCTGGTTGGAAAGAATTAGGAACGAGGAATTCTGGAAGCGAAACAGTCCAACAAATATGTTGATGAAAGTGGAGATAGATCGGATACACGGTGACAAGATCATTGAGTAACGACGGCATGCGCCAGCTAGGCCTGTGAGTCATACCCGAATGTGAAACCACGAGTTGGGATGTGTGTCTGAGGGTGATATGTAAGGGATAGTGTAAGAAAGAATAAACTGAGAATGCCAGGTGAGAACAGATGGAAGTGGCAATGTGTCGCTAACACTGTATGTCCCATCATTTGGAACCCAATAGAATGACACACTGCTAATGATTCCCAATTAATTTCATTGCCACTCAAGTCACAACAATGAACTTGGAACAGTTCGTATTCCAAAAATATGGACCTCATTCCATATAGAGTAGAGACGTCAGACGATAACGGAACGGTACTCAATAAGCACGACATCAGAGTTTTCTTCAAAACATCAGTCACACACACACACTAAACAGCAACCTTGTCCATGTAAAAGACGAAATCCCCTAAGATTCTTCATCTAATTGTGTCTATAAAATAAAATGCTTGGAATGTGATGCAATATACTACATCGGACAAACATCGTCGGAGAGAAATCAAAGTCAGAAGAAATGAACACCCTAGAGCATCTGTTTCGCCACCGAGAAATCCAGTTAGTGAACTAGAAAAGCCTGAAAAATCATCAGTCATAGATTGTGGTCTACACGCTATGGAATCAGATCAGAAAATCGATTTTGATAATATTGAAATAATACAGAAACATTTCAGCAATCGCAAAGAACGTCTAATATCATCAGAAGCACTTCATATGAAGTGGGATCCAAATTGCCTGAATACGAATTGATGGAACTAAACAGAATTTGACCTGGTTACAACAGCCCCCCATCTCCTCCATGAAGTGACAAAATCAACACGGATGTGATAAGCAATTTCATTATGGAAACGCACACTGCTTTTATAATTTTATACGCTTATCAAATCCAACAATCTAAACATGATGGTTTTGTTATCTTTACCAATTGGCCAATATGACAACGCAAAAATGACCCCATGCTGATGAACGATGATTAAGCTGTTGTATATAAGCTGAGTGGATTTAGCAAATTCTGGTTTAATAATACTACTTTGATAAAGCTATTAACAACAGCGTTAAATGGCGAAACGTCAGTAAAATCAGCAATATCGTTTTCTTTTCATTCATTGGGAAATACGAAAAAACCTTTATTATAACTGGAATGGATTAAGTGTTGTAAATAAGGGACATTTGATAGACTACCTCGACAACATTCAAACTTGACCAGTAGAATTCAGTCTGAGCCAGTACGAAGGAAGGGAAGCATGATATTTGTCACTCCCGAGTATCAGTCACAGTATTCACCACACCCCTAGAGGAGGTCTGTCTTGAGCCTGGATAGTTCGGTGACAACGACTCTGAATGCAGTGGTGATTGATGCGGGTTTGGATCTCAGAGACTATTATTATTATTGTTTCCTTTAATTCCCAGAGGAACATAGGGCTCCAGACGTGCGTCTCTATTGCGTTCGGTCCTCTGCTACAGTCTTCACCTGGCTCCAAGTCTGCCCACACGTTTTCATCTTCTATTCACATGACCTCCTCCAAGTCACCCTTGGACGATCAGCTTGCCGCTTCCCTTTCGGGTTCCACTCGAGCAATGGATTGTCTAGTGATGTCACTTTATGGTTTCCTCAGAGTATGGCCAGCCAATCCATCTCCATTTCTTCCTGAATATTTGTTTCACAATTGGTTCCTGGTTGGTTCGCTCCCAGAGATCTCTGTTGCTGATCTTTTCTGGCCATCTGATCTTGATCTCAGAGAGGACATGCGTTACTTCATAACTACAGGAACTCCTCAATGACCAGTGACTGCCAGCAAACACGAAGCCCAAATCTTTCAAAACTTCCTGCCATCACCTTCAATTTTCTGTTTTCCTCTTCTTCTCTTGTTTTTTTCCCAATAGAAAATCAGTTCTGATCCAACTATTTCAAGATTGACAGACGTGAAATCATTTACTGGTTCGCATAAAGAACGTTTCGATGCTGAAACTGGTAAAGGTTTGGGTAAAGCTGGTCGTGTAGATCCAGAACCCTGTTTTACAACTAGTGGAATTTCAGCTCCAAGAAAATAATTTCAAAAAAAACAAACAATTATCCAGCGAAATCTCTTTTTTTTCAAATTGTAAGACAAAAAAGACGACATGGAAAGTTCACTTATTCACTCACTTATATCAAAAGGCATAAGTTAAATATCTATATTTCAAATGTGTATATAATTCGTAATATACTCAATTTTCAATATGAGATATATATTTAAACTATCCAATCATGTGTGGTTTATACATATATATATATGTTTGACCATTAAATTAGATTCTATACGCATAAATAATATTATCACTTGAATCAATTGAACATTTAACCTTGAAAATTGATTTTGTTTTACTAAATATGTAAATATGTGTATCAAGTTTAAAAATAAATGAAACTAAGCACTCTTTTCTTCAGATAATCTACACGGGTCTCTTTTAATTTTGTTACTTTTTAAAATGTGACGAGTAACATTCTGTTGTACTACTGTCATGATTTGCTTTATAACTAGGGTGTACTGTGCTACTGACAAGCATTTCTAAGTAGTGTGTTGTGTGAAAATAAAAAGAAATTGTGGATTAATGTGGAAAGAAAAGCATGAAATGAAGGCGAAAGAAGGAGAACACACGAATTCTTATTACTATTGTTGATATTCATCAAGGTTCTTCATGGAAAATACGACTTCAACAGCAATAACATCTCTATTTCATCTTGTTCTGTGAAGTCGTTTTCAGATGGCTTCATGATTACCAATAAGCTCTTATCTTCTGTTCACACGATATTGTCCATTTCATTCTTGAATAAACGCCTTACTCGTTATTGCCTATTCGCGTCCCACTCGGATGCTTGCCGTTTGATGTCACTCAGCGGTCCGTCTTGATTCCCTTTGACTTTGAAAGACCTTCGACAGCGTCGATCAAGAGGTAATTTGGCTACTATTTGCTACCACGGGGTGCCACCAACAATTATTCATCTCATCCAACAGTTGTACGACAATGCTGCATGCCAAGAAATCCACAAAGGGTAAGCTCACGGAATCCTTCGAAGTGAAGACCGGAGTAAGACAAGCTGGCTGTCTACTATCTCCAATGATTAATTTCCTGGTTGCGGGCGGTAGACTGGATAATGCCACAGACAGCGGGTAACACGATGAGACAGGCATAAAATGGACCCATACAGAAAAATTGGAGGATCTGGATTTCGCCGTTGTTGATGCATGTCTGATTTCCCACAAACTGGAAGATATGCAAGTGATGAAAAGCAACAAGTTGGCGACAGAAGAAGCATCAAAGACAGGACTTCAGGGGAACATAAAGAAAACAGAAGTAGGTGATGAAGATTCCTGGCCAACATCAACAGCAGAACAACAACAGACAACAACAAGCATAAGTGGGAGGAACCTGTAAAAAGCAACCTCCTTTACCTAACAGCCTACCTGGGAAGCATCGTTTCAACTACAGGTGGACGGAACTAATGAGGGTAGCAAAGTGAGGATCTAGAAAGCAAGGCAAGCTTTCATTACTTTCAAGTCTGTGTGGAGATCAACACTCAGCACTGAGCATAAAAAATAAGATCCGGATTTTCAACTCTAATGGGAAATCAGTGCTACTATACGGATCAGAGACTTGACGCCGCATCACGAAGGGCGCTTCGAACAAACTACAGACCTTCATCAACAGCTCTCTTCGCTGAATACTTAAGATCAGATGGCTGGAGAGAAAAGACCGGCAACAGTGATTTATGGCAATGAACCAACGAATCAACCCAGCAGGAGCCATTTGTGCAACAAATATGCAGGAAGAAATAGAGGTGGATTTGCCGCCATGTTCTGAGAAAACAGACCATCGAGTGAGTAACATCACACACCAGGCCATCGCACGAGTGGAACCCGAAAGAAAATCAGCGAGTTGTTCGTCAGTGCTAGGGTGACATGGAGGAGATAAGAGTAAATGCAGGTGAAAAACCTTAATGACTACACTGTGAGGCATGCATGGTAACTGAAGGTGTACGAATCTATGGAATAGCCGAAAAACCTCAAATTTATGCTACTTATTCATCAAATTGAATATTTTTAAGGTTTTTTTTGGGGGGGGGTGGATTAACCAAGCCTAAACTACTTGTTGTTCGCCTATGGACACGACTTAAGGTGATGACGGTGGGTTTTCCGACATAAAAGCAGTTAAATTTACAAATGTACATAAAAGTAGCCAGATTCGGCGCTAGCGAGCTGAAGAAGGTAAGAATTCATAGGGCATTTAACTCTACCTTACTGGTTCACAGATAACGTGATTGTCTTACAACTCTAATGTCCTGGATTCTGTCTCCAGTTAGAAGTGGGGGGGGGAGAGAAGAATTTCAAACAGCGATAAAAACATCTATTGACTGCTCTTTCGTTTTCAGTGGTTCCCAGTGTGGTTCTCGGTCTATAGTGAAATATAGCCTGAAAAGTTTCTGAATGAATATTTCAAGTCCTATTATCCTCAAATGCGGATGGTAGAATTACTGGCATGTCTTAGTAAGCAGTCAGAGAAAGATTATTTCTAATTATACACAGTTATCTGTGCTATTCTGTTCATGTTTCTAAAGATTTTTAACCACAATAGACTCTTGGGTGGTCAGTGAACACCTTCAGGAGAATCTTTACTTGAATGCACTTAAATCTCAGTGACTCGTCGTCTTTTGTCGATTAGTGTTCAACCCAAAAAAATGACTCACCCAAAGTTCACTGCTATATATATCTATTGAATGATTTACTTTAGGGTGTACACAGAGTACAACTTAATTGAAATGCCTTAATAAAAAGAAATATTCCTAATTTATTATGTATATGGGTAAACGGGTTAGACAGTAAAGCATTATTGATTGAAATGAGTAACTTTCGACTGAATTAATTCTTCAACGTAGAAGTTTTTAACACTTCAGAATAGCACACTTAAAGGTCCAAAAGCAAGACAGAAATGTCAATAAACTACATTATTATTATTGTTCCCTTGGGTTCCTAGTGGAACATAGGGCTTCAACTGCACATCTCCACTTGCTTCTGTCTTCTGCTGTACTTTTCACTTGCATCCATGTTAGTCCATACTGTTTCAACTCCTCTTCACACGATCTCCTCCATGTCACCCTTGCACTGACGACCGACTCGCTGCTTCCGTTTCGGGTTCCACTCGAGCTATGGCCTCACGCGCGATGTCACCCAACGGCCTCCTCAGTGAGTGTCCAATCCATCTCCACTTTCTCCTGAATATTTGTTGGGCGATTGGTTCTTGTTTTGCTTGTTCCCATAGTTTCTTGTTAGTGATTATTTCCGGCGGCCATCTGATCTTCAGTAGTATAGAACGAAAACAGTTGTTGATAAAGGTCTGCAACAGGCTGTTGGAAATATTCTTTGTGACTCACCAAGTTTCTGATCTCTATAGAAGAACTGACTGACTTGACGTTTCTATTGAAAATCCTAAATTTGTTGTTGATGCTGAGTGACGAAGATTTCCAGATTGGTTTCAGGTGGATAAAATGTGTTTTTCGCCTTCTCGATTCTCGATTTGACATCCTCGTCTGTTCGTCCTGTGGTTGAGACAATGCTCCCTAGATAAGTGAATGAAGTAACCTCTTTCAAATCCCTCCCGTTGATGTTGATTGGCGCTGGATGTTGCTGCTGTTGTTGTTTGGTTATTTTCATAACCTCCATAACCATATTTTCAAGAAACTACATTACAGAGAAAATATTTGGGCGAAAGAATAATTCCATGGAGAACAGCGAAGAATTAACGACTTCAGAAGTCCACGATGAGTAAATACATCTGCTTGATTGATTGACAACAATTTTGAGCTGTGTCATCAACAGTCTTAAACTATTAGCGCTCATTGTATTGACGACCTCATCTAGACAGTATATATCTACCCACGTGGTTCAAAGACTTCATGTAATCTGACCAACCTAATCTAGCCGTATATTAGCCAAAATTAATCCAAGTAAAGCGATGGTTCGGCAGGTGTAACATTCGTCCTAGCCATCCTAACCGATATGACCTCATAAGGTCATCATTTGATTTTCCCTTCTTGCTTACCACTGCACACTTGACATCATTATTACTCTTCATTTGTTACCATCTAACGTGAGATCTAGAACCCAGACATCTGTCATATCTTCCACTTCCAATGACCATGTCATACAGTTGTAAGGAAGAACTGGACAAACTACAGCTTAGTACAAACTCGCTCTTCCACAGACAGTTAAATATATGCAGTTGGAAGACTGAACAGTAGTCAAACCCTTGAAATATGTGCACCTTATGAATGAGTCTCTTGCAGGGTCCACATTCCTAACAAGTTCCTAGTTGGTGCAAAATAATAAGTGTTCATGGAATCAGGAAGTCAAAACGCTGAAACTTATCCTCTCAGTTTCAATGGGAAAGCAAAAGACCAACAAACAAAAGGCTGTTGATTGGCATACTGAAACTATAAGGACCTTTATATAAAATTCAATGAGTTCACAATGTCGATAGAGAAAGAAAGACCAAGTTTCTAGTATAAATGATATCCTTCTATTTCACAGGTTCTCATTAGCTCCAAACTACCTGAAATTACAACGGTTATAAATAATAACATTTCATACTTCAATGTTTGAAAAGTAATAGAGAAAACATTATGAGATGAAGGCATTCTGAATGTAAGCATTACAATATGCTTTCAAACTGTGAAGAAAAAAAGAGGCGTGAAAGAAGACAGAAAACAGAAAAATCTAATAATTAGTGTTAGCTTGTGCGTCTACACAGCAACTCAAGAAGGTTGAAGTTCATAAAATTGAAAACGTACTTAGTGAGCTGATCTCACTAGTGTGTATGACTAATCAGTGTAACCAAAGTAATGCGGTAACCAAGGGAGTGAGCGATTGACTACACTCTCTTTCTGTGTGCATAAGTTCGGTCTGAAACGTTTGTTTGCAATTGCTTCAGCAGCAAATCGTAGTAGATTCGCTGTCCTTTGTATGTTTAATATTTTGAAGGATTTGGAAATCTCGACAAAGTGACTCGAGGTATCCACAAGGTGTCTGGTAATTGCACTTTTTGTAAATATCTGCTTCCTTTTAAGCAGAAGTTTCTTGGAGTGCGCTCTGAAAACCAGATAGTAGCCCTTCAAAATGTGTTAAATTGTGATGAGAGCTGGCTGCAAGGCAAAAATTGTGGACAGCAATTTACGTCCAGAATTGGGGTCATGAGAAAAAAAAAGAACAAAGCCTAACCTTCAGGAACTCACCAACCAGTCACAGCAGACTTAACGTGTGGAAATACGATTCGCAGATAGATGGCGTAACTTTCTGAGAAACGGTTACAAGCAGTACACAGTAACCTTCATCAAGAAAACAAACAATCAGGAGAGGTTGCTTCTTCGCTGACAATAATACACACAAAACTCTACAAATATCTGTTGATTTTCTCAATAAACGATCTGTTGCCT